TAATTGTGTCACATAGTTATCATTTCGTGTGTTGCTAGGTTCGAGAAGGACAAATGATACCCTCTCAAAGAGTAACCAAAATGACAAAAGCAGCGAAGAGCGGAAAAGGCAGAACAGAGAAATGTGCTCCACAACCCACCCAACAACAGCAGCGGGGGAGCAAAAAAGAGAGAAAGACAATAAAGGCAAACAGAACATAAATTGAAGCAAGCCGCGCCAAATATCAACAAAGCAGTGGGTGGGAACTCACACAAATACGCAGTGGGAAGACGGGACGAGAGGCAACAGAGAGAGAGAGAGAGAGCGCAAAACAATAAAAAAGAGAGAACGCACCCAAAAAAAAACGAATAAAACGATATCGCATATCAAGAAAAATCACAACGAATGACCGCCAAAAAAAAAAAAAGGAAAAAACCGAATTAAATGTCCCCAGCGGACACTAAAAGGAGAGAAGGATTCCAGGGTGGCAGGGGGGGGGGTCATAGCACGACCAAGAACGAAAGTAAGGGGAAGCAGAGACAGCGTGGTTTTCAGGGGGCTTACGGGGGTGTCTCGGTGCTGGAATGAAAAATTATTGACTTTTATGGTGTAGCGCATATTCGGTCTTTAACATAATATTTGTCATCAAATTAAGGAATAGAGAGAGAGAGAGAGAAAGAGAGACAGTGATGGGGGCAGACATTGTCATAAAAAATTTGCCAAATGTTGATGCCGGCAGGAAAGAGCTTTCCTTTTGCCGCACGCAGAAAAGTTCATGCAGTTCACGAAATTTCACACACGTACGCAGGACACCCACCCCATACAGTCCCACTACCTCTCCCCGAACACACACACACACACACACAGCACTACATACACATATGCACACATTTCCGGTTAAAATAATAATGCCTCGAATTGAATGGTAGGGGGTGACGGGCCGGGCCGGGCAGGAAGGACGGCAGCTACCAACAAAAGCAATAATTATGGCAAACGAGTTTGCCTCGTCTTACGCCTTTTGTCGCCCATTTTCCTGCTTTGACATAAGCCTTAACCTACAAAGATGTCCTCCTGCCATGAACATACACACACACACACACACACACTCATAACCATTCACGCACCCTCCCACACTCACACACATACAGACATACAGAGACACAGTCACAGTCACACGGAGAGCTTGTGCTGCCATGTACAAGCAACAAAGCAATCGAAGCTTCTGCCCATCCGCCTGCTTGTCGTGCTCCTCCTCTGGCACCGCTGACTATTGTTGGCCAAGCCAACAGCTACCAATTCCCCGCTCTGCTTCCTCTCTCTCTCTCCCCTTTGGGTTTCGTTTCCCCCTTTCTCTGCTCACCCTCCCACTCCCGCTGGGCCAGTCTCTATATCTCTTTCGGTTTGTGTGCAGGAAATTTCGTTTTATGCGCGAGACAAATCGCACCTTATTATGTGAGACGCTCATGTATGGGTGCGTGGGTGGATGGGGCGTGTGCAGACATTGCTTGGTGCTTGTGTGTGTTATGCGTGTATACGTAAGTGTAGGTTTTCGACTTTGCGACGAGCCATTATCCACACTCATGCACCCACGCAATATCTATGGCTTTATCGCCCAACAACAGAAACACAAACACACACACGCACTCACTCAAAGGAATTTACATTTTATGCGATGCATAAAAATACATACGTGCAATACATACATACATACAGTGTGCTACACAGAAGAAATGTTGCATAGTTTTGATAGAAATGAATTGATGTAAAAAATTAAATGAAATATTTCCACGAACTGCAAATGACAGCGAACATCAAGCAATATTTTGTTCAGTAAAACCTATCAGCAGGCCTAAACATTTCCAGTTGGCCCTTTATTAAACGGCATCTTCAGGGCCATTTGGAATGCGGCTGCCAGCAGACAATTATCAGACGGCCAGCCCCCCCACATTTGTGGGTCAATCATCAGTGGTGCTGCCGCACAAAGCTGAATCGAAGTCGTATTGCCGCTGAGTCAGAGCTGGAGCCGAAGCCGGATCCGAAGTCTTTAACGTCTCTGCCATAGTCATAGTCATCATCGATAAGCATCGCTATCGGGCATTAAGTTTAGTTTCCCTTTTGCCTTCCAGCGATTCCAGGAAGGCAGCAGCAGACACCACGCCCGCTGCAAGAACCACAGCAGGACAGCAGTAGAAGGGAAAGAACCAAAAAAATAACTCCACCAACAACATCGGAGTTCTTTTATCATACATACGTACAGATGTACATATGTATGTACATAAATTGTTTTTTTTTTTGGCGGCATTGTTTGCTTTTGGTTTTTTTTTTTTGTGGGGGGCCTCTCTGTGCATACGCTGGCCGCGTGGCTTTCCCAAGGGAGTGGCAGACGAGTGCCTGTCCTGCCTTGTCTCCCTATATCGTACATTGTTGGGTGCCGCTTTGTGCCTGCGCGAAATTTCATTCACAAAACTCGTCTTTGCCTTGTGTCCCCCCCTTGCTCCGTCTCTCGGCTAACGGCTATCGTCTATCTCTCTCGCTCCGCTTGTTTCCCTTCTGCTTTTGGCTTCTTCGTGGTGCGTGTTCCAAAAGTGTGGAGGAACCTGGTGGCAAGTCCGTGAGGACTGGGCATGGACAACTGCGCAAAATCCTTGCTGCTTCCTTTCGTTACCCAGTTTCGCTTCGCTTCGCTTCGTTTCGACTCGTTTCGTTTGGTCATGCAGGCGACGGCGGTAGCGGTGGCGGTGGCGGTGGCGGCGTCCTTGTAACGGTTATCTGAAAAGCTGTGCAAAGTCTGCGGCGCTACCTTGGCTCGGCTCGAATGCTCCAAATGAAACTGAAGCCGTGTAGCCGACCGAAATTGAAGCGGATGCTGCCAAGCGATGCGAGCCGATGTGATTCTCAACTTACCAAACTGTCAGATGGCGTGACGATAATGCCGAATGCGCCGCCAGCCCATTGAGACTGCTCCTCGGAGGTGGCCGGTGGCCTGCTACTGACTGTTGTCGACTGCTATTATGCCGTGTCCTCTGACAAGCAGGCTCCACCGCATAGCGGACACAGACACATACTGGATGGGTGGTAACAGGATTCCCAGCTAGGGAAATCGGAAATCAAGAGGATCGTTGCGGATCGATATTAAAGCGATATAATATTGAGGCTATTCCCACTCGTTCAGTCTTGTTCCAGTAGTTGTTGTAAATATTTTCTTATTTGTGCAGGCATTTTGGTTTTCTTCTCACACTTTGTGTCTCTCGATTGTTTCCTCTTCTAGAAACACACACACACACACACACATGCCCACACAGAGCACTCTGAGCCGCAAGTTTTCTTTCTTATCAATTTCAGCGACGCACACCGACACACACAGCTGGCCATTTGTGTGCGTGTGCGTGAGCCTGTGTGGGTGGGCTGTGAGCCCGCATAAGTTGACACATTCATATCCATGCCACAAGAGCAAGCACAAGCAAGCAACGGCAGTGGCCGTCTCCGTTCCCCGTGCCCCGTACCCCTTCCTTGTGCCGGGCAACCAACCTCTTCGGCATATCTTAGCACTTTCACTCTCCCTCTCAATCTCTCTCTCTCCTTGTGCTGGTACTACTACTAGTGGTGGTGGTGCTGCTGCTGGTGGTGCTTCTGGGTGGGTCCTTGTTGTCCTTGCTGATTGCATGTGTCACAGTTATTGATTGGAATGCGCATAAATTGAGCCAGTCTGCTCCCCAAGCCGAATTATGTGGGAGTTTGCTTAGTTTCCCTTAATTCCATTCCCTTTTCCGTTTTGCTGTTATCCGAGTTTGTTGTGCTCTTCCATTTCTCCCCCTGATCGGATGGGGTGTGGCCAATGCTGGCACTGGCACTGGCCCTGGCACGGACATGGACCTCCCTGTGATTTGTAGTCGCGGCTACTTAAGTTAATTACCAAAAAAAATAACCAACTTAATAATTCAAGTGGCAGAGGCATCAACTGTCCAACCCTTGCCACCCAACCCCCACCTCCGCTGCGCCGCTCCAACACTATTGAGTGAGTGGCTCCCGCTGCTGCTGTTGCTGCTGCTGTTGCTGTTGCTGTCGAGTGTCTGCTCGAAGGTCGGCCTGGCCTTGGCTTGCCCCAGTTGCCACAGTTGAACAGTCAACGAGCCAGCGCAAGTCATCCGCGTGGGTAAAGTCATATTGGATTACTTCTAATTGGCACAACAGTTTAAAGAGCTAGTGCCAGTGCCAGTGCCAGAGATGGCGCTTCATGTTGCCCCACATCGCCGGCACGATCTCCTGGGCCACCTGCCCACGACCAATGGGTATTTACGATCCCATCCACTGGCCGACTTTGCCGTCAACTGCCAGGCGGAACTAAAACACGCTGAGTGGGATTAAACGACATTATAGGGTATTACACATTTAGGCCAAGTGAGACAAAGACAAAACGCCATAACGAAATGCCACACAAAAAAGAAAAATGAAAAAAATGAAAAAATGGAAAATGGCAAAAGCGCAAAAATAAAACTACGAGTAAAGGTAAAAGAAAAAGAAAGCTTAAGCAAGGAAAAACTGGGGATGAGGATGGGGATGGGTCTGGTCGAGTCGAACGGGAGGCTCTTGAGTGAGTTTTGGAATCCCCCCTCTCTCTCTCTCTCCATCTCTCTCTGCTGGGTGCTTGGTGCTTTGGGGCAGTGTGATTAAGTGTCCTGCATAAAGTAATTTGTCTTACTTCAACTCGAACTGGCATCTAAATAGAGTTCGAAATAGATGCTGCTGCTGCTGTTGGCCAACAACAGCGCAGCGCACTGTTAGCCAACATTCTGGACAGCCGCACAGCCTGGAAGTTCGAAACAGCCGGAGAGCCGGAAAGAGAGCGACAGCGAGAGAGACACGGGTCCGTCCGGTTCTCTCTCTCTCTCTATCTCTCTTGTCAGCTGCTGCTGACTTCGCGGCCACCCACTCGTGCTCGGCCGCTCGCTCGTGGTGCTTCCTCTCGGATTCGGGTTCGGGTACGGGTTCGGGTCGGTCGGTATTCCAGTTAAGCGCCATCTGCAATTGTGGCACAGTCAGTGCTTTGGGGCCATCAGCAAGAAGCAGGATTGTACGGTATATATCCTGCGTCGTCGCGTCCACCACTCACACAAAGAAAAATTAAATCAAATCGAATCAAAAAAAGAAAATACCACAAAAAAAATAGCAAAGAAAAGTAAAGCACCCCCAGAGGACACCATCGAATGTCTTCGAGTTAGCCGCTAGTGAAGAAATCAAAGTGCAAATCCCCCGGAATGTGTACGGCAAAACGGGATAAAATAAATATAGTATGATGCGAGAGCTGCCAATCGGGCTGGTCTAGTTGAAAGGGGGGGAAAAGGAAAAAAAAAAGTGTGTGGAGGAGGAGGAGCAGAGTGTAAAGAAAAGAAACGAAACGAAACGAAAGAAACCCAAGAAAATCTGCTAAGCCAAGCATAACTCTCGAGCACTGCCTACAACGCCCCCAACCTGCCGTGTCCCCGCCCACACGCGAACGAACCGTTACGGCAGTTGATGCTGCGCTCTGGGAAGAACAGCCATACACCCATACACAGACACAGTGCCTTATATACACGCATAGGTACATAAGTATATAGTTAAAGTATTGTTCGGTGCGGTGCGGTGCGGTAAAGGGAACGGGAGAGCCTTCACCCATCTGTCCCCCAGGGAACATTCACCCCCCGCCCCAACGTGAAACAGACCAAAAACAAAAAAAAAAACCCAAAAAAAAAAAACAACGAAAATCCCCTGATTGTTATATAATGCGAAAATCATTCGTTAACCCATATTGTTCAGGAATCGGGCACACCAAGTCGTTTGAAAATATTCCGGGAATAGTATGCACCGATTCATCGGAATCGGGACACAAATGTTTCAGATGTTTTGTGCTACGTTCCGGGCTTATATAAGCGGCTGTTGTACTGAATGGAATGGATCCATCAGCAGCAGCAGCAGCAGCACACGCACCACCAAAAAAAAATAAGAGAAATTCCCCTGTACATATACAACTCTACATGGGTGTGTGCGTGTCTCTCAGTGTGTGTGTGTGCGCAGTGTCAACGCAGCAAATAAAACAAAAGTGAAAGTTAACACACAGAAAGCAGAATAAGAAAAAAATACTCCGATTGGGAGCGGAGCAACAAAATGTGGCGTGGAGTACAAGAACCTGGGTCGGGTGTCGGGGGGGACAAACAAGGATTTGAATAATACGACTCTAAGCAACAAAGAAAAGTAATTTCCTTTGTGACACACACGCAGCCAAAAAAATTATGCGAGAGATCTCAAGGGTTTTTGGGGGAAATTAACCAAAAAAGAAAAGAAAGAAAAACGAACAAAATTTGTTAACAAAAGAGGAAGAGATTTCAGATTTGATTCGTGTATTTTTTTTCATTTCTTTTTCTTTTTCTTTGGAATATGCTGCGCTTTCTACTTCTTGGACTTTAGTTTTAACACCAATGCACACATACACACGCTTGGAGAGTGATAGGGTGGGCGAGCGGGGGGAGACACATGGAAAATCTTAACACCAATACTTAGACAGAAGGGCTACAGTGACGACCCCAAAAATACGAGATGGGGGGCGACCGACTCGGCTTCTGCTTCTTTGCCTTCTCCTTTTACTTCTCGCCCAACTTCATCTTCATCCTTCGTCTTCTACTCCAAAAAATGGCATGCCGAGTGCTTGCCTGGCTGCCCTAAGTAACTACTCTCACACACACACACACACACAAACAGAGACTCTCAGCGAGAGAGAGAGCGAGTGGCAGCCACGTACTCTTACTCGTACACCCACGATTTCTCGTTCTCATTCTCATTCTCATGCTCGTGGTGCTCGTGGATGGGGATCCATCCATCCGCTGTTTTTGTGTTTGCAGCGCCAACAGCAGAGAAAAGCGAGCAGCAGGAGCAGCAGCAGCAGCAGCAGCCGCTGGCTGCGAATTATATAAATTTCTTTGCGCTCTGTGCCTCTGTTTGTCTGTGTATGTGTGTGTGTGTGTGTTAGATATACGGGATTTCCACGACATTTTTTTTCGGCTTTCTTCTTTTGTGCGGTGTTCGCGTTGGCTGCTGGTTGCGTTGCGGCTGCTCGGGCCAGAGCTTCGGCTAAACGAAGCTCGTCTCTCCCGCTCCATTTTCTGCCAACTATTTCTATGCACAAACATGCATAGAAACCAAAGAAAGAAGAGCAGAAACTTGACAAACTTTAGTTAAATATGATAACAGATTTTCCAATTATTTCTCTTCAAAAATTTTCCTGCTGTTTTCCCCCAACAAATTAACAAGAAGTAGGATTGAGTTATAAAGAGAGTCAGCCCAGAGAGCAAATAAAAAGGAGAGCGCCTTTCGGGGAGTCGAGAGCGTGAGCGCACAAAACATTTTTGAAACAATTCTTTTTTTTTTTTTTTGACTTGGAACTAACCAAAAAATAAATAAACCCAAAACGAATGCAGAACAAATTACGTTAATGTTTGGCCCCTAAAAAAAATGTATAAATGAAACACGCTAACAAGAAATGCCTAACGTTTAACAACAATTTCTCTATGTCTGTGCAGATTTCTATATAATTATGTGAGCCCAAAACCAAAAACCAATTCAACGAAGCAACCGAATTTCCACAAATTTCCAATTTCCAAGGTTAATGAGCGCCAGCAGCCCCAGCAATAATAATAACTGAAACAGCAACAACAACATCAACAACAAATAGCAACAACAACAAATAACAACAGCATCAATTACAGCTGCCACAACCCTACCCCACCCCCAAAAGCTATCCAATGAAATTCCAAAAATAGTTGATAATCCCCAAAAGAAAATTATATTGTACAGTGCCAAAAAGAAAAAAAGTGTGAAAAATCTATGAAAAGTTCGAATAAATTTGTGTCAAACATGAGCCGAGGATACGCATACCGAATTTGCCCTGCTGCCGAGGTTAACTGAATGCGATCCAGCAGCGTCCTGGAGAGCAGCGGCACTTAGCTTAGGGGGTCACGGACAGTGCGGACAGTTTGGAATCTTGGAAAGAGCACAGCCAGGTCAGGATTCATGCCTCTAGCAGCAGCAGCAGTCAGAGCCGAAGTAGCAGCAGAAGAACCAGGAGCAGGAGCAGGAGCAGGACCAGGACCAGAAGCAGGGAGCAGATCTGTTCAGCAGTCACTGAAACTGGAGTCAAATCAGGATACGGATACGGATACGGATCAGAAGCAGCAGCAGCAGCAGCAGCGGCCGCAGCTGGATCGCACACCAAATCCGAATCCCACACTTCTGATGATGATGGGGCCATGAGCCCATCATTACTCGCATTGAATTGGAGTCGCAAGCGCGTCTCAAGCGGGCCTGCACCATGCTAGCACCGCCGAACCCGAGGTCAATATGCGGCCAGGACCCGGGCTGGTCGTGATGGCGCTTGCGTTTATTTCGGGGGCTCGGCGTGGCAGCAGCAGCAGCATCAGCTCAACGACGACGACGACGACAGCATCCACATCAATAGGAACAACATCAGCAGGAGCAGCGGGAGCAGGAGCAGGAGCAGGAGCAGGAGGAGGAGCAACATCAGGAATTGGAGCAACTGCAGCAGGCGGCGGCGGCGGCGGCGGCGGCGGCACAGAAGGAGCAGGTGGAGGTGGAGCAAGAGGAGGTCACAGAGGTGGAGGAGGAGTTGGAACTGCGTTACCGTCCAGAGGCGAGTCGTCGTCATTCATTAGCAGCTCTGGCTCATATCTGCTGCCCATCTTTCTGCCCAACCATCTCGACTTGTACCGTCGGCCCACGCCCCAGGCCATCTACCAGCTGCCACCCACTTACCAGCACGCCCACGAACCCGACGATCCGCGTGCCCGCACCGAGGCCCTAAGCGCGAGGCTACAGCGGCGTCGGAGACGCGAGCGCAGCCTCAGTAGCGATATTGTTGGCAGGGCAGGGGGGACGGGAACGGGAGCGGTAACGAGATCGGGGACCGGGTCCAGCAACGAGGAGGAGGAGGAGGCGGGCGAACAGGAGCAGGGAGATAGCGGTCTGCCAGTGCAGTATTCATCCTCACAAGCGCTAGACGAGGACGAGGACATCTTTGCCCTTGTGGCCGAGGACGATTTGCTGTCCGAAGAGTCCTTCGATCGCTTGATAAAGCTCAACGAGGACGTGGACGAGGAGGATAAGCTCAACGAAGAGGATTACAATATCCAGCAGCAGCAGCAGCAACAGCAACAGCAGCAACACGAGCCAGTCCTGGAGTTGGAGGCGGATACCGAGACAGAAACGGAGACGGAGACAGAAACAGAGACGGAGACGGAGCAACAGCAGCAGGACGAGAGCAGCCTGATTGATGAGAGTGTCCTGCAGCTCAGCGACAACATCAGCCCGAAGGACTTTCCTTCCACCAACAGCAACAGCAACAACAACAACAACAACAACAACAACAACAACAACAATAATAATAATAACAAGAGGGAAGCTACCGGCAACATCCTTGATGCCCAGGCGGCTCAGCTGATTGGCCAAAGGGATAACAGCTGGTCCGGCGGCGCCTTAAGCGCCTCCGCTGCAGTGGCCATAACCAGGTCAGCGGCGGCAACAGCAGCCGGAACAGCAGGAGGTGGGACAGCTAGATCCCTGCCAGACCCCGTCGAGCTGAAGAAGAGCATACTTGGCACTGCGTCCTCATTAACACGCCTTAATCCTTGGATATCAGCCTGTGATCTGGCACAGCCGGGCACAGGCACCGACTTGCAGGTGAGTAAACGCCTGCCCAGCCCTGCCCAGCCTTGCCCTGCCACCCTCCCCCACCTTCCCCAAGGACTCTCTGTGAACTTTAATGTCCTCCCTTATCGTACTTTATTTAGTGGCCAGCAGCAGTGAAGAACGATTATAAGGCCTCCTTTGGGTTTCTGTACAGGATAATGGCCTTGAGCACAAGCCTCAATCAATTTCGTACTTGCACCTATGCAGCTATCCCGCCCTCGTCCCCACCGACATCAGGGATTGCCTTCTCTTTGGTTCCCTGTTGCAGCTACACACCCACTCACTCACTCAGCCACTCACCCACCCACTCACCCACTCACTCACCCACCCACACTGTCGAGGAATTGACAACAATGCACAGCTTAAGTGCATACAAATACTCACGTAGAAACACACACACACACACAGAGTGAAAGGAGAACGCACCCACGCAGACGTACTCAAATACATGTACAAATTGTATGCATTTCAAGGGATTCCTATTGCCAAACGACTTGAAGGGGTCCCTGTCCCTATTCCAGTCCCTGGCCACCTTGACTCAGCAGTATTGAAAGCTTGTGTCAATTGTTGTTGCCGCTCCACTCCTCTTCTCGCCGCCACTGAACCTCCACCTGTTTTTCAATGCTGAAAGTTCAGCAGAACTAGAGCCTGCGGACAGCATTTCCAAGAGATTTCAGCGGCAATTGCGAAATTACCCACTGCAAAACGAATCCAAATGCATTGCCTACTTTTGCGAGCAATTCATCGATGAATGGCGATGTCGGGGTTTGTCCTAGGAGAAAGTTAATTCAATTATGAAATATTTACGGCATTGAATTGAATAAAGAAATGAATACAATGAAAACAAAAGCCATTAAAATCTCTTTGCTTTGAATTTCCGTTTGGGGAATTTCTGCAATTGGAAAAGTTAATTATTTACTTTCCAGCAAACTATCGTATGGCATACAATTTTGGATCCTGCCAGAAATTATGTAAATGTTAAGTTCAGCCAAGGGAAACTTTAACTTTTGCTGGGGAAACGCTAACAAAGGCATTTTTTATACCATTATTATTACGAGGGTTTCTCGCCATCGAGCCAGGCACTTTTCTCTTGTTGGCTTCCCACTCAAACTGCCAAAGGAAAAAGTGATTTTCAGTTTTTCTTCGTTATTTTCCTTGTGACAATTGCGGGGCCCCCAGCTAGGAGCACTTCAGAATCCACGACAGTTTCATTTTCATCATCATCATCGCCATCGTCATCATCGCCAGAGCTGCCAGCTGGCAAAACGAGCTGCAAATCAACGAAAATGCCTTGGCAATTGTGCCACAGTGAGTGAAAGAAAGAGAATGAGAATGGGAATGGGAGGAATGATATAGAGTGGGCTGGGAGAGAGACCAACCATTGGGCACTTCAAATTGATTCCTTTTTTGGTCTTATTCCATTTTGGTTGTCTGCCAAAAATCCTTGCTAACCACTCACCTATGGAATGGCATTCTGCTGCTGTTCCACTTACACCTCCACCTCCCACCACCACACCACCACTTCCCTGCTCTGCCCACTCAATTGGCTCTGCCAAATCTAATTCACATTTTAATATTTATTAATGCATTCTTGCATCTGCCATCTGCCATTTGCCATTTGCCCAAATGCAAATTTAATTGAATTGAAATTGGCCCAACTTTTGGTGTGTGTTTTTTTTCCTACGCAGAGACCGCAATCTGATGGGGTCTTATTCGCTGCTCTGCTCTGCTCTCCCCGACAAGACCGACAATTAGCCCCGACCTCGAATTCCAATTGCTAATGGGCCTCAGCAAGACTATTGATTTTCCCGTCATCAGGTGGTAGGAGATAAAGTTCTTTTCCTAGCCAAATGTCTGTCATTGTGCCAGCCTGCCGGCAATTAAATAATTAAGTCAATCAGACAATTAGAAGGCATTTAAGTTGAACAGCTGTCAGGACTCGCGTGGGCGACTTGCGGCCAAAGTGAAAAATAATTCAAGTTATCGCATCTATTTGAAGGCTTTCCCAAGCGATGCAATCAGCTGCGCCTCATGGCGGTTCATGTTCATCGCAAGTAGTTACGAAAGGAAGGTTTTTCGTGTTCCTTCATCTCCGTTGCTGTCTTTTCCTCTTGACTGATTCCCGCGCAACAGTGTCTTAGCATAGCCTCTGACAGCTTATGCAGAAGAAGAAGAAGATGATGATGGCAAAGGGCATTGGATCAAAGTCCACCGCAAAGACCTGCCAGCGAGTGGCAGCTGCGATTTCCTCAAACAATTTTAATTTGGCCTTGTCCCCGGGGCCAGTTCCGGCTGGCTTCGAGCTGCAAATTAGCAAACATTTCTCCAATCTCCATGCCAGGAGTGGGCAAAGCTCTCTATCAGCCATCACTGTTCCTGTTCGAAGCTCCCCTGTCTGCCTGTCTGCCCTGCCTCTAGGGTCTTTTTGCAAGAGCAAGTGCAGAATTTATGATGAGGCGAATGGCAAGTGGCAGCATTCAGGCTGCGGCCTGTTGATGTGTTGATGCCACTGCAGCTGCAGAGGAGGCAACGGCAGTGTCAGTCTGTCCACTCGTGTCGAGTGCTGGGCCAGGCCTTAGAGGGCTTACGACGATGGGAGTCTGTCCCTGCTGCGTGGCTGCAGTGCATAGTGAAGCATGCCTCGGGGCATGCCACGCGTTCTTGCCAAGTGCGATTTGAATTGAGGCTCAGACTGCAAGTGCAGTAGGTGGAGAGTGGGAAGCAAAAACCATGTTCATCTGATCTCTGGGAAGTGTGTAACTGCCATCAAGGCAGGATCTCACTGCAGTCCACGTTGGTCATTGAGTAGTTGTGCTTTGAAAGAGTTTACACCTATGCCTAGAATTTTTTCCTGTGTGTAATCTCCATGCCAAATAATCGCCCTTTTGTGCAGAGTAATCTCCATGTCGAGCATCGTAACCCTTTTCCAACTGTTTTTTTTTTCTGTTCGCTCTCCTTTATGATCCACTGTTTTTGCTCTGCCATTTCCTTTTTTTGTTAGCTCCACCACTTTTTTTGCTCGTCTATCCGGGCGGATTGGAGTGGCAATTGCAGCTCAGAGAACAGAAAAAGCGATGCAATGGGCCCACAGTTTTGGATTGGTTTCATGCAACTTTTACCTGCATCGAACTGCAAGTAAAGGCTCCAGTTTCAGTTTCAATCCCCTCCAATTCAATTAAAACAACCTTTGCCTTTGCATTGCCTTGGTGGAATTTAATACAAAATTCTGTGGAGCACGCACACCTACTATGCAGCCTGGCCTGGCTCACTGGATGGTGGGACCCACCGCCCTTATGTTGGTTAAACTTTTGCAGCAGTTGGATAGCATTGCAGAGCGGAACGGAGCGGAGCGTTGCGGAGCGGAGAGCAGGGCGAATGTTTATTTGTGTCAAGGATGTGTACAAAATCAATTATTTTGTAAGCAGTTGCGGCTGTTGCTGGCACTTTTGGTGCCTGCGCTAGTGCTGCTGTGGCAGTGGCAAGTTGCAAGTTGCTGCCTCCGATTACATCATTCCCAGCCAGACAACAAACAATGCCGAAAACTGTCATAAATTGTCCGCCTTCGGGCAAATGGTTTCCAGAGCAGAACTAAGGGAACAGTTGCTGTCTGTCTGACAACTCCCCTCCATCGCCCTGATTGAATGTGAATCTGCAGATATAACATACGGGTATGTACATATGTACATATGTGCTATGTACTGTATGTATTGATTTGATTTTATTTCGATTAAACGTGGAGCTTGGCAATTGATTCCGGGAAATGCCAGATTAATGCATGAAATAAAATGAAAAGTTACCCCGGAGAAATTTTAATAATTTCATGAATTTAAAACAATCCTGAATCCAGCGTGGATTTCTTTCTTTTTTTTTTACATATAGTATATATGTAAAATTCACTCGATATTTAAATTAAAAGGCTTTAATATTAAATATTCGTACGATAATATTTATGCGGATTTCTTTGCCTGTTCTTAAACACTTTTTAAGCCTATTAAGCTGCAGCTCAAATGGTGGCACATTAGTCGGTACCAGGGACCAGCGACGCTGAGCTCAATTAGTTGGCAGCATGATTAGCCAGGCTAAGATGTCTGCTGCTGCTGGTTGTGGTTCACCTTCGGCTTGCAGTTGGTTCCGTGCTTGAATCGCTTGAAATGTTAATTGTCCCGCAATTTGCATTTTGAGCTTGTCAAATGGCAAATGATGCAGGGCAGGGCAGGAACTTTTTGTAAGTCGAGACGGAGAGAGCGGGAGGTGCATTGATTGGCCCATTAAGGCAAAAGAGGTAACAGAACGCACTCACCACTGCCGTCCGCTGTCCCTTTGTGATACTTGAATGCAATGTCCAGGCTAAATACACAAAACAATTACATTAGCCCCCAAAGGGTGGCCCTGGGGTCAGGGCTGGCTAACGGGAGCCCCATCCAACACGGGGCTAATGCAATTATGTGTGCTGCGTCGACCGGGATTCTCGCTTTGACTCTGCCTTTGGCTCTTCTGGTTCGGGGCCCTCTCAGCACGTCAAGTGCCTGGGGAATGGTGCGCACACTAAGTGGAGCACTGCTGCAGTGCATCCCCATTGCCATTTCCTTCTATTTCATTTGGGTTTTTCATTTCTGCCGGCGCTGAGCGTAAATTATTCAATGAGCATTGTTTGAGTAAAAGTTGCAAAATGAATTTCTACTCAAGAATTTCATTACGAGTTCGAAAACAAGCGAATGCTGAATACAGCAAGAGGTCTGCAGAGGGACGGATGCTGGGAACGAAAGGGAATATAGACAATGGCCAGGGTCCCTTCGGTGGCCCCACCCTCCATCCCATACCCATACCCATACCCAACTCATGCTCCCTCCACTTGCCCAGGGCTTGTTTTTGTTGCCGCCTGTCCGCAGTTGTCCACATGTTTACATCTCATTTCATTAAATTCATTCAACTTATTGTTGTCATTAGAGGGGGTGAGGGCCCACACATACACAATTCCTACACCTCCACCT